ATATAGGCTCGACACAAGGCCAGTTACCCAGGTGTTACGCGAATGTTCTGAGGGTCGCGAAGCGTCCCGAACAGAACCTTCCCGAACTCAGTAGAAAGCAATTCGGTGGAAACCGAATAGGCTTGAGTTCGGTACACGTAACCTGGTTCGGTGCTATAACTATAATAACATATAGGAATGCACCTAACCTAGGAAATCAAGCATATCTATGCATGATAAATAAAACCTAAGCTAGTAATAGCATATTAAAGTCCAGGCAAGCTAGCAAAGCCAGCATAAGCCGTCGTACTCTCACACCATGTTAGAATGAACAAGTGTCTGTGAACTAGCAGAAAGTTGGGTACAAGTAGGAAACCCTAAGTTTGTTGTACCCCCTAAGGCTAAACCCACTATAGCCTACACAATGTAAACATATAATGTTTGACAGTTACGCTGGCTCACCTACCTGCTGACCGACCGGGGAGAGGTGCCTCGTTCTCCTCCAGTGTTGTACGTCGACAACAAGGTCATGATTGCCTTGTGTCAGGAGCACCGACTAGAGCACAGAACGAAGCACATCGCTCTGCGCTACTTCCTTGCTCGAGAGTTGCAGCAGCGTGGTCAGCTTCGTCTTGCTTACGTGGCCACTCAGGCCAACACTGCTGATGTCTTCACCAAGGCACTCCAGCCTTGTGATCATCAGCGTTTCTGTACTGTTCTAGGCCTTGTGCCTACTGTGCCTCACTTGCTTACTTCTTGACTCTGTTTGTACTGTGATCTCTATACATATACCTGCATGCTTACACTTGCTAGGTTGTGATCACTGTATTGCCTGTTCTCCTTTATATAACTCTGCATGTGAACTGGCCTTGTGGCCATTTGCTTGTGCGCGGAATGCGTGGTGACTTCGTGATCCACCCTGAGCTTGCTTTGCCTCTCTTGACCGGTCTTGTGACCTCCTGTTCTCCCCCACTTTGCCTATGGGGGTGTGTCAAACATAGATGCTATAGTCTGTGTAGGCTGTAGTGGGGTAGACAATATGGGGTACAACATTTCTAGGTTTCCTACTTGTACCCAAACTGCTTGTTAGTCTAATCATTCCTTCGTTCTCATTCTGACAGGCTGGTCTGTGCGAGTAGTATGGCGTGGATCTGTGCAGTTGGGCGGGTCAGTGCGTCGGCAATGTTCGAGGCTCCCTTTCTATAGATGACCGTGTAGTGGAAGTTTGACTCGAGGAAATCGAGCCAGCGGATCTGTCGTGGGTTGAGGTGGGGCTGTGCGCGGAGGTACTGTAGTGATCTGTGGTCTGTCCGTACTGTCAAGTATTAGCGCCGGACCATGAATGCATGCACGATCGCGAGCATTTTGCGGTCGTGTATCCGGTAATTCTTCTCGGGCGGATGCAGTTTTCGTGACTCGTATGCGATGGGCTGTAAACCGTTGCCGAAATCCTGTAGCAGTACGGCTCCAATGTCAATGTCGCTTGCGTCTGTAACTACTTCGAATGGGCGGTGTGGGTCGGCGATGCGCAGTACGGGCGGTGAACAGAGAACATTTTTCAGGGGGGAGAAGGCAGCATGCTTTTTCTCCCCCCACGTAAAAGTGACCCCCTTCCGCGGTAAATCCGTCAGCGGGGCAGTTAACCGTGCCATGTCGGGGACGAACCGACGCACATAATTAACGAACCCTAAAAATCTCTGCAGCTCTGTGATGTTCGTCGGGGGGTGCCATGCTTTTACCGTGTCCAGTTTCTTTGGGTCGATCTCAACTCCAGCCTCCGAAATAACGTGCCCCAGAAACTCTAACCTATCCTGGAAGAACTCGCACTTGGAACCCTTGGTCAGTAGTCTGTGCTCGTCTAAAACTTTAAATACTGCTTCCAGATCTGCTAAGTGCTGCTGCTGATCGCGACTGTAAACTAGGATGTCGTCGAGGTAAACTATCACGCATTTATCTAAGAGCGGCCTAAACGCCTCGTTCGTGGTCATCTCAAATGTCGCCGGTGCGTTGGTCAGCCCGAATGGCATCACGGTGTACTCGAATGACCCATACCTAGTTCTAAATGTTGTTTTTACGCAGTCCGATGGTTCGACCCGAATCTGGTGGTAACCTCCGCGTAAGTCAATTTTCGAAAGGACCCGTGCTGTTCGTAGTTGATCTATCAGTTCGTCGGCGTGGGGAATGGGGTATCGCGACTTGACTGTTACCCTGTTCAGTGCTCTGTAGTCGATACACATGCGAAAACCCCCATCTTTTTTCGGTGTGAACAGTATCGGTGCGGCGAACGGTGACGAACTCGGTCGGATGATTTTTTTCTCTAACATGTAATCTAACTGCTTCCTCAGTTCATCGAGCTCTGACTGTGTCAGTCGGAATTGTCGCTGTACAGTTGGCTGTGCCCCCGGTTCTAACTCTATTCGGTGGTCATGTGCCCGCTGAGGTGGCAGTCCTTCTGGTAAATCGTCCGGAAAAATCCCCGGGTACCGTTTCAACAGTTCTTGTAGTTCGGGCGGTACTGCTGCCAACAGTTTCTGAAAATCGCTCGGCTGCTCTGCTTCTTCTACCAATGCTATATCCACTGCGTACACGTCAGCTCCAGCGGCGATAGCCCGTTTCATCGTGATGGCGTTGACGTGGACCGTTGAAGACTCGGGCGACTGCCAGCGAGGTAGCATGACCCAGTTACCGCTACTTCGCACAGTGTAGCTACCCGTCGTCCAGTCGATTCGCGGATTATACCGTCGCAGCCAGTCACGTCCCAGTAAAATGTCGTGCCCATCCAGTGTCGTCGCGAGCATTTCCTGTGTAAACCCAAAGTTCCCCCCGCAGCGGACTTTTACTCTTTCCACCTTCTCCCGTATGGCCAGCGGCGTGCCGTCGACTAAGCGTGCATCTATCTCCGGTAAACACCGACTAAGTGTCAGTTGCAGCTTCCGTGCGGTTGCGGTATTAACTAAACTGTGGCTTGCTCCTCCTTCTATAAAAATCTTCACCGCTGCTCCCTGTATTTTTCCGTGAATCAGTACTGGGCAATCCGTCGTTGTACCCTCCTTATTCATCCGAGCCCGATCGATAGCGTGAATCAATACTGTGACTCGGTGAGGGTCGGTGAGGTTGGGCGAGCAGGTTGTCTCGTCAGTAGTCGGCCCATTTTCTACTGACTGCTGGCGTTTCCCTGCCTCTAAGACTCCCTTCCCTGCTCTGCTCCGCGGCGTCTCTGCTCCTCTGGGCATTCGCTCTTGCGATGGCCCGGCCTATTGCAAGCAAAGCAGCGCCCCTTAAATGGTGCAGCGGCTGCATTCGTCGCAACGGCGTGTACGGTGGCGTGCTCGGTCGGTCCCCGAGGGCGATGTCCGTAATAGGACCCCGGTCTCGGACGGCGCAAAATGTCGATTTTCTCGGCGAGCGCGAGGATCTCGTTGAAATTCGAGAGCCCGCGTAGCATGATTTCGTGCGAGATGTCCGGCTTCAGCCCTCCGACGTAACGGTCCACCCGCTCCGCTTCGTGCATGTAGCCGACTTGCTCGCATACTGCGAGAAAACCGCTGGTGTAGTCTTGGACCGACCCAAGTTGTCGCCTAGTACGCAGTTTCTGACGCGCCGAAATAGAAGCCGCAATCGGCTCGAAGCGCGCTCGAAGCCCTGCGCACCACGCATCCCACGTGCTGTACTGGGCGGTTTCGCAGAACGAACTCCAGGTGACGGCTGGACCCGTAGGTCTTCCTCTTGCGACGGAGGCTCGTAGGCGCGTGGCGACGTCACAATGACTCGCCACCAGTCCATGGCGGGGCCCCTTAGCAGCGAAACATCATATCGAATCTTCGCTGCGTCCGACTCGACGTAATTCGCGTCGAAAAAAACGTTCATTGTGAAGACCCACGATTGAACCGTCGGACCTCCTCGTTGGCTCGGGTCGAAGCAGGGCGGGCGCTGCGGTTTGAGCGGCATCGGCGCGATAATGTCGTTGTTGCCGATTGTTGCCGCAAATTCAACGTGACGACGGGCTTCGCGAGGCCCGCTCGTGCTTGGTACAGCCCTGTTCCTCCCCATGCCAGGCATTGACTGGGCGGCGCCATCACTGGCTGCGCCTGAGCGCTGTCCCACGCTGTCGTGATGTGACGGTGTGCCGGACGAGATGACAATCGGCTCATCCGATTGCACAGGTGCATTTGCGGGTGCTTGTGATGGTGCTGGCGCATTCACCGTTGATTGCTGGCGGGCGGAGTCACGTTCCGCCGTGAGTGTCGCGATTTCGAGCGCCGAATCTTCGAGTTGGCGCACGAGACGGTCGAGCTGTTCCTGCGTCAATGTCGCAAGATTAATTTCGGCCATGGCGCGGGTGTCGGGCAAACTCAGCGAGAGCCTCTGTCGTGGCCGTGCGTGCTTACGAGAGAGCACTTCGAGCGGCGGTGCTTGTTCGCTGAGAGACATCAACCCCCCCCAAAAATTGAGATGGTGGGGAAGCGAAGGTGTGGGTGCGGTCCGAGAGGAGATCGTAGGCTCTGAATACCTAGTGTTACGAGTGCAATTGAGCGAACGAGCGAGAGTTGCACTATCGAAGCAAAACAATACAATGAGCGAAGGCATGCGCGAAGAATATATAGCGAACTAGAGTGGTGACGGTAACGCGAGATAATGGGGTATGCTACGGGCCTAGCGCCGAGGTTGGGAAATGTCGAGGCGGAGGTCCGGAGCGCGGGTTACCAGCCGAACCGTGAGGTTGGGTCGCATCGTGAGCGGTGGCGGGAGTCGTAGTCGAGGCGAGTGTCGCGAGCGGGTAACGTTTCACTGTTTCGGTGCCGATGGCGGGAATGGTCTTGTACGCGGTAAGCAGGGGCGCGAAGTAAGGAAAAGGAATTTTCCTTACACACACAAGTATTTGGTGATGACTGGTGCTGTGGCACCAGTGAACTACACTCGCGTTAAAGCCCTTACATACAGCATTTGCGCAGTGTACATATTCGTAGACAACCACTTCTTAATATATTTTCCCAAAATACTGAATAAACTTTCACAACAGTTCAAGCGGCGGCCTCTTGAGCGGCGCGTGCCGCCTTGCCAGCGGCAGCTTGCACGCTGGTGATGGCGATGGTGTTGACGATGTCCTTGGTGGTGCACCCGCGGCTCAAATCATTCACCGGCCGACTCAACCCCTGCAGCACCGGACCCATGGCAATGGCTCCTGTGGCCTGTGGGAAGGGTAAGAGGGGGGTTTGGGGGAGGGGGGGGGGGTTGGGGAGAGGGGGGGGAAAGAGAGAGGCACACAGGGTGACAAAAACTCGTGTGCTGGGATTCTCAACGGTGTGTTCAATCGGCGGCCTCTTGAGCAGCGCGTGCCGCCTTGCCAGCGGCAGCTTGCACGCTGGTGATGGCGATGGTGTTGACGATGTCCTTGGTGGTGCACCCACGGCTCAAATCATTCACCGGCCGACTCAACCCCTGCAGCACCGGCCCAGCAGAACAGTTGGAGAGGCAGGAAGGCTCAAGATGCAGGCAGGGCTGGGGGAAGCATGGATCGCATTTTGCAGGGAATTTATCAAAGTCCTTCACTTGGCTATCTTCAGAGTATCCAATGTTCAACATAACATTGTCTGTGCGCCTCGTTCCAGGCCGTTGACTGGCAATGGCTCCTGTGGCCTGTGGGAGGAGAGAGAGGAGCGAACAGAATCATTAATATTCATCTGGTGCGATTCTGAATCGCCTGATTAAGCCACCTTTTCGTGTGCTCCTTGCGTTCCCCACCAGCAGGACACCAGCGATGGCTCCGGTGTCCTGCTGGTGGGGAAGAAGCGAGAGAGGGGGGAGGGGGAGTGGAAGAGAAAAAGAGAGGGGGAGAGGAGTAGCAGAGCTTGAACGAGTGGAAGGTAGAAAAGGGGGGGAGGTCAGTGGAGGGAAATAGAGAGGAAGGAGGCTAGTTTCGTGGTGTAGGATCACGAAAGAAGTGGGGAAGGGTGTATGAACTACAAGGAAAAGATGAGCAGGAAACTTGAGACACAGAGCACACAGCAGTTGATATGAAAAGAAATGATTGAGAGTGCGGGGAGGGGAGAAAGTTTGCAAGTGAGCGGCCAAAGCGTGAGAGGTAATGGAGGGAAGTCGGTGAGAAGGGAAGTGTGCGGGGTTACAGTGAGGGGCTAAGGGGTTACCTGTTGCACAGCCTTGTAGGTGTTGTTGCCGGTGTTGAGGTCCGGGAATATGAGGACCGAGGCCTGCACGAGCAGCAGGGAGGAAAGCAGCAAGGAGTTGAATCTTGAAACGGCCGGACATGCTGTATTGTAAAGGCTTCTGATATAAGCTGTCGACAATTCAGGATGGTTTCCCAGAGCGTGTAGCGCACAAACGGCGATCAAATATTGTAAAATAGGAGACTAGGATAACCATTGGCCAGCAGGACAAACCTTGCCGGCCACGTCGGACTCTCTGCCATCCATCTTGTTGTGGGCGGCCATGGGGTTGACAGCAGCGTCGTACTGCAGTGGCCCCTCCACCAGCAGGTCTGGTCGCTGCTGCTTCACCAACTGCGTTGCCCGCACCACCTTCTGCACTATGGTGTCTGGATAGGGGGAGCAAGGGGGAGTGAAAGAGAAGCGGGGGGCGAGGGGGAGGGAAAGAATGAAGCGGGGAGAGAGGGACAGGTGGAGCATCAACGTCCCCTCCACCAGCAGGTCCGGCCGCTGCTGCTTCACCAGCTGCGTTGCCCGCACCACCTTCTGCACTATGGTGTCTGCATGGGGGGGGGAGAGGAGCGGGGAGGTGGGGGGGAAGCCCTGGGAGGTGTCAATTCTACATTACGAAGAGGGGGAGCAGCAAGAGGTTGTCCAACCCTCACTTTCCCTGTGCTCGACCAGAGTGGAGTACAAGAGCGTTGCAACACGCAGATTTACGCCAAAGGCAGTTCCTCAAACGCATTAGCAGCACCCAGAAGCACCTCCTTTCCAATCCCACCCCACATTCATTCTCACCCTCCTTGCGCTCATCGAGGGTGGAGTAAGACAGCATGGCCACACGTGGCTCCACGCCAAAGGCAGCAGCGGTGTCGGCGGACGAGATGGCGATCATCGCGAGCTCCTCAGCCGTCGGATTGGAGTTGATGGCGCAGTCACCGTAGATGTAGACGTGGTCGGGCAGGCACATGAAGAACACACTGGAGATGATCTCCGTGTTGGGCAGTTTCTGGACAAGGGAGGAGCCGTGTCATGCAAGGCAGGGACAGAGAGGGTGGATCAGTAATGTAGGGTAGGGACAGAGAGGGTGGATCAGTAATGTAGGGTAGGGACAGAGAGGGTGGATCAGTAATGTAGGGTAGGGACAGAGAGGGTGGATCAGTAATGTAGGGTAGGGACAGAGAGGGTGGATCAGTAATGTAGGGTAGGGACAGAGAGGGTGGATCAGTAATGTAGGGTAGGGACAGAGAGGGTGGATCAGTAATGTAGGGTAGGGACAGAGAGGGTGGATCAGTAATGTAGGGTAGGGACAGAGAGGGTGGATCAGTAATGTAGGGTAGGGACAGAGAGGGTGGATCAGTAATGTAGGGTAGGGACAGAGAGGGTGGATCAGTAATGTAGGGTAGGGACAGAGAGGGTGGATCAGTAATGTAGGGTAGGGACAGAGAGGGTGGATCAGTAATGTAGGGTAGGGACAGAGAGGGTGGATCAGTAATGTAGGGTAGGGACAGAGAGGGTGGATCAGTAATGTAGGGTAGGGACAGAGAGGGTGGATCAGTAATGTAGGGTAGGGACAGAGAGGGTGGATCAGTAATGTAGGGTAGGGACAGAGAGGGTGGATCAGTAATGTAGGGTAGGGACAGAGAGGGTGGATCAGTAATGTAGGGTAGGGACAGAGAGGGTGGATCAGTAATGTAGGGTAGGGACAGAGAGGGTGGATCAGTAATGTAGGGTAGGGACAGAGAGGGTGGATCAGTAATGTAGGGTAGGGACAGAGAGGGTGGATCAGTAATGTAGGGTAGGGACAGAGAGGGTGGATCAGTAATGTAGGGTAGGGACAGAGAGGGTGGATCAGTAATGTAGGGTAGGGACAGAGAGGGTGGATCAGTAATGTAGGGTAGGGACAGAGAGGGTGGATCAGTAATGTAGGGTAGGGACAGAGAGGGTGGATCAGTAATGTAGGGTAGGGACAGAGAGGGTGGATCAGTAATGTAGGGTAGGGACAGAGAGGGTGGATCAGTAATGTAGGGTAGGGACAGAGAGGGTGGATCAGTAATGTAGGGTAGGGACAGAGAGGGTGGATCAGTAATGTAGGGTAGGGACAGAGAGGGTGGATCAGTAATGTAGGGTAGGGACAGAGAGGGTGGATCAGTAATGTAGGGTAGGGACAGAGAGGGTGGATCAGTAATGTAGGGTAGGGACAGAGAGGGTGGATCAGTAATGTAGGGTAGGGACAGAGAGGGTGGATCAGTAATGTAGGGTAGGGACAGAGAGGGTGGATCAGTAATGTAGGGTAGGGACAGAGAGGGTGGATCAGTAATGTAGGGTAGGGACAGAGAGGGTGGATCAGTAATGTAGGGTAGGGACAGAGAGGGTGGATCAGTAATGTAGGGTAGGGACAGAGAGGGTGGATCAGTAATGTAGGGTAGGGACAGAGAGGGTGGATCAGTAATGTAGGGTAGGGACAGAGAGGGTGGATCAGTAATGTAGGGTAGGGACAGAGAGGGTGGATCAGTAATGTAGGGTAGGGACAGAGAGGGTGGATCAGTAATGTAGGGTAGGGACAGAGAGGGTGGATCAGTAATGTAGGGTAGGGACAGAGAGGGTGGATCAGTAATGTAGGGTAGGGACAGAGAGGGTGGATCAGTAATGTAGGGTAGGGACAGAGAGGGTGGATCAGTAATGTAGGGTAGGGACAGAGAGGGTGGATCAGTAATGTAGGGTAGGGACAGAGAGGGTGGATCAGTAATGTAGGGTAGGGACAGAGAGGGTGGATCAGTAATGTAGGGTAGGGACAGAGAGGGTGGATCAGTAATGTAGGGTAGGGACAGAGAGGGTGGATCAGTAATGTAGGGTAGGGACAGAGAGGGTGGATCAGTAATGTAGGGTAGGGACAGAGAGGGTGGATCAGTAATGTAGGGTAGGGACAGAGAGGGTGGATCAGTAATGTAGGGTAGGGACAGAGAGGGTGGATCAGTAATGTAGGGTAGGGACAGAGAGGGTGGATCAGTAATGTAGGGTAGGGACAGAGAGGGTGGATCAGTAATGTAGGGTAGGGACAGAGAGGGTGGATCAGTAATGTAGGGTAGGGACAGAGAGGGTGGATCAGTAATGTAGGGTAGGGACAGAGAGGGTGGATCAGTAATGTAGGGTAGGGACAGAGAGGGTGGATCAGTAATGTAGGGTAGGGACAGAGAGGGTGGATCAGTAATGTAGGGTAGGGACAGAGAGGGTGGATCAGTAATGTAGGGTAGGGACAGAGAGGGTGGATCAGTAATGTAGGGTAGGGACAGAGAGGGTGGATCAGTAATGTAGGGTAGGGACAGAGAGGGTGGATCAGTAATGTAGGGTAGGGACAGAGAGGGTGGATCAGTAATGTAGGGTAGGGACAGAGAGGGTGGATCAGTAATGTAGGGTAGGGACAGAGAGGGTGGATCAGTAATGTAGGGTAGGGACAGAGAGGGTGGATCAGTAATGTAGGGTAGGGACAGAGAGGGTGGATCAGTAATGTAGGGTAGGGACAGAGAGGGTGGATCAGTAATGTAGGGTAGGGACAGAGAGGGTGGATCAGTAATGTAGGGTAGGGACAGAGAGGGTGGATCAGTAATGTAGGGTAGGGACAGAGAGGGTGGATCAGTAATGTAGGGTAGGGACAGAGAGGGTGGATCAGTAATGTAGGGTAGGGACAGAGAGGGTGGATCAGTAATGTAGGGTAGGGACAGAGAGGGTGGATCAGTAATGTAGGGTAGGGACAGAGAGGGTGGATCAGTAATGTAGGGTAGGGACAGAGAGGGTGGATCAGTAATGTAGGGTAGGGACAGAGAGGGTGGATCAGTAATGTAGGGTAGGGACAGAGAGGGTGGATCAGTAATGTAGGGTAGGGACAGAGAGGGTGGATCAGTAATGTAGGGTAGGGACAGAGAGGGTGGATCAGTAATGTAGGGTAGGGACAGAGAGGGTGGATCAGTAATGTAGGGTAGGGACAGAGAGGGTGGATCAGTAATGTAGGGTAGGGACAGAGAGGGTGGATCAGTAATGTAGGGTAGGGACAGAGAGGGTGGATCAGTAATGTAGGGTAGGGACAGAGAGGGTGGATCAGTAATGTAGGGTAGGGACAGAGAGGGTGGATCAGTAATGTAGGGTAGGGACAGAGAGGGTGGATCAGTAATGTAGGGTAGGGACAGAGAGGGTGGATCAGTAATGTAGGGTAGGGACAGAGAGGGTGGATCAGTAATGTAGGGTAGGGACAGAGAGGGTGGATCAGTAATGTAGGGTAGGGACAGAGAGGGTGGATCAGTAATGTAGGGTAGGGACAGAGAGGGTGGATCAGTAATGTAGGGTAGGGACAGAGAGGGTGGATCAGTAATGTAGGGTAGGGACAGAGAGGGTGGATCAGTAATGTAGGGTAGGGACAGAGAGGGTGGATCAGTAATGTAGGGTAGGGACAGAGAGGGTGGATCAGTAATGTAGGGTAGGGACAGAGAGGGTGGATCAGTAATGTAGGGTAGGGACAGAGAGGGTGGATCAGTAATGTAGGGTAGGGACAGAGAGGGTGGATCAGTAATGTAGGGTAGGGACAGAGAGGGTGGATCAGTAATGTAGGGTAGGGACAGAGAGGGTGGATCAGTAATGTAGGGTAGGGACAGAGAGGGTGGATCAGTAATGTAGGGTAGGGACAGAGAGGGTGGATCAGTAATGTAGGGTAGGGACAGAGAGGGTGGATCAGTAATGTAGGGTAGGGACAGAGAGGGTGGATCAGTAATGTAGGGTAGGGACAGAGAGGGTGGATCAGTAATGTAGGGTAGGGACAGAGAGGGTGGATCAGTAATGTAGGGTAGGGACAGAGAGGGTGGATCAGTAATGTAGGGTAGGGACAGAGAGGGTGGATCAGTAATGTAGGGTAGGGACAGAGAGGGTGGATCAGTAATGTAGGGTAGGGACAGAGAGGGTGGATCAGTAATGTAGGGTAGGGACAGAGAGGGTGGATCAGTAATGTAGGGTAGGGACAGAGAGGGTGGATCAGTAATGTAGGGTAGGGACAGAGAGGGTGGATCAGTAATGTAGGGTAGGGACAGAGAGGGTGGATCAGTAATGTAGGGTAGGGACAGAGAGGGTGGATCAGTAATGTAGGGTAGGGACAGAGAGGGTGGATCAGTAATGTAGGGTAGGGACAGAGAGGGTGGATCAGTAATGTAGGGTAGGGACAGAGAGGGTGGATCAGTAATGTAGGGTAGGGACAGAGAGGGTGGATCAGTAATGTAGGGTAGGGACAGAGAGGGTGGATCAGTAATGTAGGGTAGGGACAGAGAGGGTGGATCAGTAATGTAGGGTAGGGACAGAGAGGGTGGATCAGTAATGTAGGGTAGGGACAGAGAGGGTGGATCAGTAATGTAGGGTAGGGACAGAGAGGGTGGATCAGTAATGTAGGGTAGGGACAGAGAGGGTGGATCAGTAATGTAGGGTAGGGACAGAGAGGGTGGATCAGTAATGTAGGGTAGGGACAGAGAGGGTGGATCAGTAATGTAGGGTAGGGACAGAGAGGGTGGATCAGTAATGTAGGGTAGGGACAGAGAGGGTGGATCAGTAATGTAGGGTAGGGACAGAGAGGGTGGATCAGTAATGTAGGGTAGGGACAGAGAGGGTGGATCAGTAATGTAGGGTAGGGACAGAGAGGGTGGATCAGTAATGTAGGGTAGGGACAGAGAGGGTGGATCAGTAATGTAGGGTAGGGACAGAGAGGGTGGATCAGTAATGTAGGGTAGGGACAGAGAGGGTGGATCAGTAATGTAGGGTAGGGACAGAGAGGGTGGATCAGTAATGTAGGGTAGGGACAGAGAGGGTGGATCAGTAATGTAGGGTAGGGACAGAGAGGGTGGATCAGTAATGTAGGGTAGGGACAGAGAGGGTGGATCAGTAATGTAGGGTAGGGACAGAGAGGGTGGATCAGTAATGTAGGGTAGGGACAGAGAGGGTGGATCAGTAATGTAGGGTAGGGACAGAGAGGGTGGA